TCAGAGAATAAGAATCCATCCTCTGAAAATGAAAAAAGTCATAGTGTGATGAAAAATTCAATTACAGGACTGGAAAATGAACTTGAGGAAGTATTTCTTTAACCAGAACAAGGAGTTTAAAACTAAGCAAGAAAATACCAAGCAAGTGGAAATGATAGTGCTACTAAAGAAATACTAGGAGAACATTTCCCAGAAATAAACGCTATGTGTTTCTAGGTTGAAAGGGTGAATGAAAAGAGATTTTCTCTAGAATATCATTGATAAAAGAAAGTTCTGAAAGTTTCCAGAAGGGAAACACTTGCAGAGGGTAAGGGCAGGCTTCAAGGGAGAACAACCCTGGTGGGTTGGAAATTCAATGGCAGCAGACTTCTTAGCAAAAGGCAGGGAAGCCCCACATGCAGCGACAGCTCCAGTATTCTGAAGAGAAGGAATTCTGATTGGAATTCCACCCATAACTAAGTTCTATGAGTACGGAGACATAAGATGTAGTTACACACAAACAAACAAAACAAACACGTCTCCCATAAACTGTATTCCTGAAAAGCCAGGAAAAGGAGAAAGCAGACAGGGAAGATGAAAAAGAACTCTCAGAATTCAGGGGGCCCAGAGTCCAGCCTGTGGAAGGCACTATGGGAAGGAAGGCAAAGGGAGACCCAGGTGGAGGTGTGAGGCAGGAAGACAGTTGTGAGGACGGCCTGGCCTGGAGGGAACCAGTTCTTGGGGGAGGAGGAGAGGACTCAGGGAGCACTACTCTCCTGACGTGGCCCGCATCTGAGAGAGTTGGAAAGTGAGAGACAACTGAACAAAGGCAGTCCAAGGCTGTCCAGAACAGAGGCCAGAGTACAGCATGAGTCACTGACCCGGAGGCCAGGTCACAAGCAGGATGGAAGACGTTTGATCAAATCCAACCCAAGAGGCAGGAAGATAGCTGAGGAAAGGTTTCCTTACTGAAGAAAAGCCACTGCTAAGCATGATGGGAGAGGCGGGTGAGAAGGGCTCAGGAACACAAGGGGTCCCCCATGCCTCAGTGGAGACCCATCAAGCCATTATAGGCGAGGTCCGAGAAACCGAGGGAGAAATCAACCACATTGGCCCTTATTGCTTATTGTTGTAGTATTATTGTTTTGTTTCCAAGAAAAAACAGCTCTTGGGTGCTCGTACCAATTCACTGTGCATATGTGAGTGTGTGTGCTGACCCATTTGTCCTGTAATCCAATTTTTGTAATGACTTTTTAACATGTTTATAATTTTTTTAGTTGGATGCTTGGTTTACAGCACGCAAACTTTCCCTGCCGTGTTCTCATCACACCATGCCCAGCTTCTCTGAGATTTAGGGTCATGATTGCTTTCCATCCCTCGATTACTGAGGTTACAGATGTGAATGCTTTCGTACATGTTCTAGGTAGTTAGCTTTGTGGTTCTTAACAATTTCTTATACTAATGTGATGTAATCAGGGAAAGGGTCTGAACAATTTGACTTGTAGAATCTATTGGGTCGTCTGTTCTTACAGTTAGGCTCTGCCCACTGTATTCATATGTCTGCTTGACCTATGAGCCTCCTTGTCTGCCATGGACGCCTTGCAGTCTCCTTACCTTCTTCTCTTCCCCCATCCACGTCTTGCAGTTACGCTGTCAGTAGCAGGGCACCATATTATCCAGGGAGTAAGACCTAGGTCTGGCACAATCTCATTAAGGAATTTGATTTTGTTTACTACAAAGAGCTCTAGTCCTGTCTGAGAAAGCTAAGACAGAGGGTTGTAGCCTGTGTACCACACAGTAGACAGCGTCTGGACATCCAGCGAGGGCCAGGCTGAAGCACTGAACTCAAATACATACATGTGAACATGCACACACACACACACGAACATATGTGAAGACAAGAGAACATCTGAAATAACTTCCATCTTTGTTCTTGAGCTGACACAGTGACTCCCGATGAATTTCAAACAGAGGCTGCACTGTGCTTTAGGTTTGCAAAAAGAACACCCAAGGCTGTCTTTGACTGATCAACCCCACGCTCCTGAGCACCAGAGGCTCCTTTGCTATCTGTGCTGTCTCGGGACAGCAAATCAGCAGAGCGTGCCCTGTATCCCACATGCCTGCCTGGGGTCAGAGGCTTCTTGCTCGACCAATACTGCCGGCTTTCGCAAAGAACACAAGGATTTGCTCCCACATGAATTACCTTCATAGGCTTCCTGGCATGGAAGTAGACAAGTCATCCAGACTCTGTGTGCTCCTCATATTTAATCTTGGGCCCTGGCTCAAAAAGAAGTTTCTATTTTACAGTTCCAAAGTTATTATCTTGAAATATTTCTATATTAACAAATACTACATCTACGTCACTTTATTCACTATGTAAATGCATTCAAATAAAATGTAAATCGTGTGATAATCATATGCCAAAGTCCTATTTTCATAGAGATAAGAACTGATGAAATTTCTTTCAAATAATGGCTTATGCAGATTCTCCACAAACTCCAAACAGCCTTGAAGATTTTCGTTAACGCTTTGTCTGTTTTAATGAAACGCAGAGCAAGCCTGTCTGAAATCCATCTGAAGAGGACATGCAGGGTCCAGCTCATCTGTTGAAGTGCTGCATTATTTCCGAATGTTCTCCAGTGGTGTCTTGATGTCACCGTCCCCTTTTCAGTGTGTACAACGTACATCCCTGACAATTTCTTCTACGGAGACTGTTTTCTTCCTTCCCAAACACTCAGCCTTCCACATGAGAACTGGAAATTCCAACAGGAAATGGTGAGAACTACACTGACTATGAGCGAGTACTTGGAGGTCGGGAGTATGTCATACAAAAGCAGTCGAAATGGCCACTGTCCTGAAATCTGTCTGTGTGAGTCCAGTTTCACCTGGGCCTGCCTCACACGGCAGGTGTCTTCTGTTTCTGCTTTGCTTTTCTTCTTCTTTTTTAAAATGTAAGAATTTGCCTGGGGGTTTTCTCGAGCAAGAGGTATCTTAGGGAATGGTACCTCTTTGGTAAAAGTAAGTAAGTACGATAAGAGAAATAACCACTTTTATTTTAGAATATTCAAGTTTTACTCAATTTATCAGGAAACCCAAGCTAGAAATGATGACAGTAGTACATGGAGGATTTGAGAGAATGCAGTGACATGTAAAAATTCTTCTCTCAGAGATGGAAGGAGGGAGAGGGAGAAGGAGAGGGACAGGGACAGGGACAGGGACAGGGACAGGGACAGGGAGAGGAGGGGAAAGGACCTAAAATAATGAAGATGTGTTTTCTATGCTCACCAGCTCCCAACTCTACAATGAATGGACCCATTATGTACGGCAAACATGTGCTAACAAAAATAAAAATTAAAACGTTCAAATTCTCATCTCTTGTTTCCCATCTCTGGGACCCGTAAGAACAAAACTGGTAATGATAACCACGGAGGGGTTATGACACATTTCTAGCACACAGGTAAACATGTCCATGCATTGTGTGTGTAAATTTATGTACCTCAATGGGTACCACTAAAGTTAAGTGCTAAAGAATAGTATTTTTCATCTTTCATATTTATGTAATTTTTAAACTGCATTAACAGAAATGACTTGAAAACAAATCCCAGAGACAATATATGACACCAAAACAACTTTACGCAGTTATTTACCAAAGCTTATGCACATGGTTACATTCACAGAGTGATCGTATCAGGAATCTGCGAGGAGTAGGTGCCTGAATCAAGAACAGAGCCATCACCTCCTTACTTAGCGGACCTGCGTGACCTCTGCCCCAGGCTCCAGTAACTACTTTGGTCAACACTAATTCCACCAGGAAACTTGCTCTCATTCCTTAAACACAAAAGAGCATTAAATTTATTTAAAGCTATTGGCATTTCTTTTCACAGTAATTTAGAATTTACCTGGTGCCGTATAAATCTTATACACAATTTTGAAAAATACAGTTCTCTAATTTTTGTCATCTTCATTCTAAAGAGAAGCCAATTATGGGACTCATTCCCTGGTGTTTTTCATTTCCAAGACCCTGGTATTGTTGTGCCTTTGGACACCTTGCTCTTCCTTCTAGGAGCCACCCACAGACTCTCCCATAGCCACATGTTTGACTGTAGCATCTGGAGCACTTTATCTTTATGCTGTATTTCTATAAGAGGCATTAATATACCCACACATAAAGTATTTATAGCTGGGTTAGCTCTTTGGAGCGCATCTCATTATGTCTTACAGTGGTGCCTGCTTTGAGTCCTTTAGAAATGCACCAGGCACCCCTTTCCAAAACCTCAGCTGCCATGAAGCAAGGCTTCAGTGCTGCATTTGAAGTTCTCTCAACTGAACAGAGGTTTTCGTGCTTCACTGCTCCAGGACTTATTCTTTCCTCTTGATACCGATCTATGGTGTTTGTTTTATCTTTTTGGCTATTTGGACACATTTAGTGTTAGTTCTTTTCAGTTTTAATTTTTATATTCTGTTACTAGATCATCACTATGAGTGATCTATCTATGCATCACTTCACCAGTGGATGAGGACAGAAAAGGCAAAAAGGATATATGCATCTGTTTTACTGGTTTTCTCTTCTATGCACAACCAAACATTTACAGCACAGACATAAACTTTGCATTTACTTTCTATTTTTGCACAGAATTATCTCCGATCCAAGGGAATAAGAGAGAAGAGAAAGCAAGGCAGGAACAGGAGAGGAAAGAAAGAGGCTATGGGATTCTCGGGAATAGAGCAGGACTTGGCCCTGGCCATGGCATGGAGTTGATGCGGGAGGGGCTGGGGGGCTGTCCCAGATGGGGTGTGTTCCTGGGACACCAGGCTTGAGTGGATGGCCTGTGTGGGTGTGGAATGTGCTTCTCCCATCCAAGGCTCTGGCAGTATGCATCAAGGAATGACCTCGGTGACAGGGACGGGAGCAGAAGAGGGAGCTGGCTCTGAGAGATGCATGTAGGAAGCCACACAGAGCTGCTGATCTGCAAAATGCTCCCATTCATCCACAAAGTTATGGGGGAAAGGAAATCATCTACCTGTGATGTCCTGCAAAACTTAGACCACAGATATGGGTGATTCCTCGGCACATGGCATAGGACAGACTTCTCGACCTGGAAGGACCTTCACATCACTGGTTCCTTCAAGAAGTAAAAGGACTCACCTTAAATACACCCTCATGAAAAACCCAGAGACACTAAAATATGTAAACGACGTCCATGGAGACTTTATGCCTTGAAAAAAAACTGCCACCAGGAGCCCTCACTAAGTACTTGTGACTTCACAGAAAATACCAGTGCTGTCATGAATACTACTCACAGCGCAACTACTAGCTAAAACTACAAAAACATTTACGTATTTGGAGATTGACAGTGGTGCTAGCAGTATAGCGAGGAGCTGAGAAGGTGAGTTGGAAACCAGCACAGGCACGTGAGCAGGTGGCAGTGCTGAGGATGGACGGACAGCACCAGGGCCCAGCTGAGGGAGGCGGGTGGGGAATGCCTGACACTGTACCATCCATCCCCTCTACTACCCCATACCACACTGCACTCCACTCCGCTCTACCCACGCCAGGCCAAGGAGGACCTCTGATGAGGTCGCGAGCTGTCTCCTGCTAGAGGTGGGATCCAAACCCAACGCCCTGTTTCCAAGTGTCCTGTGCCATCCCCTGATGCTGCAGGAAGTCTCATTTCCCTGTCCAGCCTGCACTTCCCTTCCCCTTCCCCGGTGCTCACACTTCCGCTGCCTGCTCAAGGAATGCACTCTGTTTCCTGCTCCTCTGCTTAGTTCTTTCCCCATCTGCCAGCCTCAGTTGCATCAGGTTGTTGGTAAGAAGCCTCGACTTCAACTAGGTGATGAGATGGCTCTACCAGGCGCCTCCCCATGCTGTGAGCCACCTGCCTGTGTCACCCCACACCCCTTGGAGAAAGTTCTGGCACGTGGATTACCATGTCCCCCTCTGTCCCATCTCCCCCAAGCAGCTCAACACTCCAGGGACCTGTCCACTCCCACCCAGCCGCTCACTAACCTCCTCCTCTCCAGCAGCCTCTTCATGGACCCCATCTGGTCATACAGACAGCGAGCACCCAGTCGTCTGCTCTGGCCTCCCTGAGCCAAGCCCCTCTGACCATTGTGTCCTTCCTGAGTGCCGGCTCAGGTGCCCCAGCTGTGCATGATGTTTCAACATCAGTGGAATTGTTGGGTCCTGATTTCTCTCCACTGATCCCCACTCATCATCACCCCGTAGCATTCTTCTACCTTCTAATGCAAAGAACTTGAACTCTTTTACCTCTCTGTTTATCACACCTGATTGGCTCAGGCGGGGAGGAAACCAACCATGCATTCATGAAACTATTCTGCTGCCCTAGGTTTGCATAATTGCATTCTCCTGGGGAAACATTACACAGTGCTGACCAGTGGTCAACAAAATGCCACTCTCTCCAGCCTTCTGCTATGCCCATCCTTTGCTCTTAGGCAGAGAGCCAACCTCCCCAGCTGGGTGCCTCTTTCTGTCCCTGACAACGGTGCAGGGAGTAGCATCCCTCTCCTCATCTTTTCCTGGTCTCTGAACCTGCCAGGCCCCTTATTTCAAGTCAGGACATTTGCATGGTGGGATATGTGTTTCACTGCTGCCTTGGATAACTCCCAGTTGCCCTAGATTTCACCTTCTTGAGCTAGTGTCTAAGAAGAGGTTAGGTCCCCATTTTATGTAGTGTTTTTATGTATCATAAACAAATAAAGTTATGGTTTAATGTTTATCTCTTGTGTCAGAAAGTAAGCTGCAAGCCTATGTGTATTTCACTATTGTTTCTCTAGCACCTAGTCTGGTGTTCACCGACCGAGTTCCAGGTTCTTCTTTGGAGGCTGACAGATAACCAGATATGCCCATTGCCACATGGGGACATTGTAGGAAAGTACTGGTGGATGCCAGGTTCCAAGATGTGGAGTTACTAGAACAAACATTTAAACTTCAAACACATTTTTACACTATAGAACAGTAAGAAAGTGTGTCTTGGACACTCCTTATGTTCTCAGGACTATGCAAAATACTTTTTGGGAGCAATAGAGAAAGAAGAGCATCCTATTCATTGGTAGCTTTGGAAAGAGATTAAAATTCAAACACCTTTTAAAGAAATCAGACTAACTGATGTTTAAAAATTTTCAACAAGTCTCTAAGTAAGAAATCTACTCTGTCAAAAAAAAGAAATATGCTGTATCATAGTAAATAAAGGTATCTGGGAGAAAAGAAAGAATCACAGGGTATACAAATTGCATCTCATGGTACTCTAGCAAAGCACCATTTCAAAGGGCTGAGCTATGAAGCTCATTAACTCTTACTGTCCATCAGCCAGCCCTGTGCAGATCAGCGTGGGCCACCTTCCGGCACGGCCAATGCTACTCAACATTGCCTTCAGGGCTGCTCAGCTCACTCGACTAAATCAAGGTTTAAGGCCATACTTTCAAAATTCATCTCCACATATTTGTCTCAGGTGCAGACGGGTACTACGATTCTCCCCTTGTTGGACTAGAAGGAGAGGTATGACCAACCACTGCTCAGAGTAGAGCTGTCACCTTAAGGACCACAGCTGGGGACTTAACTGGAGTTGAGAAGAGTCTGAATAAAAAATGCAGAGAACTGTGTAATTTCCTTGTTAAGTTCTGAGCAATGACGCATCTTGGCCTGGCTCAATAGTAATTAGAAAACCAGCCACTGGGGAAAAGGGACCCATAAATTCTACAGCTGCTCACATGATTGCCTCCAAGCTAAAGGGAACCTATGATCTCCATATTTTTCTACAGAAAATAGTGACTTTTTTGCCAAGAATATTTCCCTTGTAATGTGGATATTTAAAGATGCAGGTCTCAGGGAAAAAGTGCTTTCAGCTCATTTCTTCTGGGAGACTGTCCTGAACTTGTACCTTTACGCCTTCTTGTTGCCATTTCTTCTGAGATTACCTTCCAGTGTATGTGTTTGCCTCCTGATTGTCCCTGCTTAGGGCAAGGACAGCCATTTGGTCTCATTTGCATACCACTGTCTCCCTACCACCTACTACAGCAGGGAAGGCCAGGTTGCCGATAGCAATACACTTCCTGAATAAATAATAACAACCTCAATTAACACCTGTAACCATTAACCATTATCTGGATAGATCCTTATCACAATGCAGCAAACGGTCATGTTTTATTCTCATTTTCTAAGTATGTACGGTGCACCACTCACTACCTCAAGCACCAAGAATAAGTTCTGATTTATTCTAAGTCCTCAATGAAAACTCTACCTAGGCAGAGAAAATCTAATGGCCAGCTTCTTCTCACAAGGACAAGAAATGCACAGGAAATATCCTTACCAACTACGAGCTACCTGCCCAAGGAACACACTTCATCCTAACCTAAGACTACTGTGCTCTGTCCTCATGGGGTCCTGCCTGGAGTTACCACGGCACTCAGCTGCTGGCCCAATATGCACTTCACTCTTCTTTGATGAGCAAATCCTGATTTTTTTTTTCAGGACAACAATGTGCTCAACTAAAAATGTCATCATTCCAGTCATTCTTACACCCAAACACGATCATTTGGCCCTTCAGGACAAGAGGACCTTGGGGAAGGCACTGCGAGGCTGTCTCACTGCCTTTCTTTCCTGGGCAAGCTGGAAGAGGTGTGAACACTGCTTTGCCCATGTCCCCTTCTTCTGAACTTCCTGGCATGCAGATGTGAAATGCACAGGGTGACGGCACAGGGTGACGGCACGAGGACAAAAGCAAAGGTATTAGTGAGGGAAGATACAGACCAGAGAGAGCCTGGACCCTGTACCGCCAGCCTGGGACCGGCAACACCAGTGACTTGTCATGGAGGAAAATCAGCCCTCTCTTGGATTAAGCTGTCTCAAACAGCTTTTGTGTTACTTGCAGCTAAAGAATTATTAGAATTCAACAACAATTTTATCGTTTTCCTTTTGTGAAATCAATCAACTGTCCTTAAAAAAAAAAATAACACCAGCGGAGCGGCAGGTGGGCATCCGATGCATTGTCATGGACAGGTGGGGTGATGTAAGGTATCAGGGCAAAACCAGTGAATAAAAGGAACTGCACTGATTGCTAGAAAATGAGGCAGAGATGGATCCTTCCTTACTTGGCAGTGGCCCTAATTGGTGACTTGAGTGACGTAAGTGCGGAACTTCTTCATCCCTCCCGGGATGGGCAGAGGCTGAGACCTCAGGATTGTTAGTTTACTCAGTATAGTGAACACCCAGAGCCCAACAATGATACTGACACAAACGAAGGCACATGAAGATGATTTGGTACTCTAATATTTTAGCTGCAGATTCATGCTGGCCAGCAACAGAAAATAAAGATCAAGATGCGCATACTTGTCCTTGTTGCCACACTGATTATTCACTATTGAAATATTCAGTTCAACCAAATTCATTTAGGAAGTTGTTTTTAATAAAGAGGAAACATTAGCAGTGGGTGGTAATGTTCACTACAAGTTACACAGACACTACTCTGAAAAGGGAAAGAGATTTGAGTGTCACTGGAAAAAAAGTTATGAGGTATGATCTAAATATATGGTGAATGTTTAAATTAAAGAATTATTAGAGTAAAAGACATGCTACCATTATTTTCCCTCTAATACTCCAACTTGCTTCAAAAGCACTTATCCCATCATTCTTGCCACTTTCTGAAGCAGTTCTGGATGTTTTCTTTCCTGAGTGTCTTTCCTAGATGTGGTCAAACAGATGATGAATGCTACTGCTGAGTGCCATCCAATGGAAAGGCAGGTTTGTAAGAACATGTAGTGTCCTCATCTACCATTCACCAGATCTGACACTGTGTGACTTCTGACTTCTCTCCAAAGTGAAATGACAATGAAAAGAAAACATTTTGAATTAATTTGGGACATGAAGGCAGTCACAACAGCACAACTGAAGATACGACAGAAGAGTTTTGGAACTGCTTCAGAAAGTGCCAAGAACAATGGGATAAGGGTGTTTGAAATAATGGGAGGTATTCTTTCAGGTGAATTAATGGCTATTTCTCTTTCACGGTGATAAATTTTAAAAATTTTAACATTCACCTTATTATTTGATCACATCAAGATACTCTGTATCTTCTTATGTTTAAAATAAAAAATAACTATTGGG